GATTGCACTGCAACGCCGCTAGAAAAAACGCAATTACTGCTGTCTTGAATCACTTCAAATAGACTGGAAGTGATGTTGTACACTGCACATCCGAGACCATTCTTGTCCACGTACAGGTTAAAGGGTCTGCAGCTCCGTGCCACTTTCACCGCTCGAAGGTGCACGCGAACGGGGCTGGAAAGTAGCGGTACCGGTAAATGTCGTCTACCGACTCCGACTGCCCTATTCACATTGTGCAGCACTGGTGTCCATACCAGAATCCCGCAGCGAAACATTCAGTCAGAGGGAGAGAACAACTGGTAGCGCAAGAGTGCAGGTAAGTAGCGCTTTTGGTTATTGGTGGCCATCTGGCTGGCCGTGCGGCACTTTCCGTGAGCGGAGTAGGAGGCAGGCTACTGCAGCTGCGGACCCGTCCGCCTCGCACTGGCAAGGGGAAGGATCCAAGAAAGTGAATTTAGAATTGTCTTCATATGTCCTAATGGAGCTTTTCAAATTGATGTGAATTGAACAGCAAGCCATAGCTTTTGATAGGAATGTTTTCTTAATGCAGCATTACAGGAATGCGATTTTGGGCTATATCGGATTGCTCATCCATGAGAATGCTCATCAGTGTTTCTCAAAACAAGAGAATCCTCAGTATGGTTCGTTCAGATTTCACTGTGGTAGGGACTTTTAGAACATCTGTGTTTCCTTTCAGGGGTCGATTACAGTTCTGTAGAGAGCGCTGCAGTCACTCTAATGAGGATGGTAGGAGATGCGGTTACATCATCATTCCTCAAGAAATCTGTCATTGAGGTGCTCTCGGTACGTTTCGGTCCGTTAAAGCACTCTACGTTTCGGCCCGTTAAAGCGCTCAAATTTGTAAACCTGCATGGCCATTCAAGGTCTTTATATCCTTCGCACAGTAGAAAAAGAAGGGGAAGTCGCATCACCACCAGTACTTGCTCGACAAGGGAAAACTGAGCATTCTGCACGTATCATCGTTTTTTTTTTCGAAAAAGAAACAGGGGTGGCACAGGGGCTCGTGTTTTTGGAAGGTCTATTTGAGGCAACGATGGGGTGCTTTCCGATTGACTCCAGCCCAGCTGAAAAATCTGACAGTAGCATCAGTCGGCGCGCGCTTCTGTTTTTTTTCCGACAGTTTTGCCTTTTTGCAATTTTTACTATCCCCCATAGCACTTTGACTGCACGTTTTGCGTTTTTCCGTATCCTTTCAAGTTTCGCGACTCTCTAGTTCCTGTTCTGTCGAGGTATGAAAAGCTGCTTCAAATGGGAAAAGGCAGTACAGAAGTGTAACAAAAACTGTGCTAATTTTCCGCATTTCTAGTGGTGCTGCACTATTTCTTCGGACTGCCAGTCAGTCAGCACAATGCTGGTCGATTGAGTGTACTCAATCTCCCTCGAGGCCCCGAATCTCTTCTAGAGCTGTTCAAAATGGTTGGCTCCATTGCTCAACTGATAAAACTTATCGATACAACTATAAACGTGTTGTGAGTTTTCATAACATGCGGTACATGCTTTGCACACCTGTCACTAACAATAAGGGCCATAATTTCTAGGCTTACGAAGTGTCCTGATGAATGCATGACGGTACTCTTCGACGCTTCTCGACATGGAACACACTTTAATTGGATTTGGCTCCACATCGCGTAAGATATTCTATGATCTTCACTATAGAGCAAATGAATGATGAAAATAATGTCTTTAAGGATCACTTTCCCGGGCTCAATTGTAGATCATTTGTTCACCGTTGGAGCTGATCAGTTCAAGGCTTATGTAGAGGATATCAAGTTAAAGGAAAGGAATCAGGTTTGTCATGACACGCCTAAAAGTACGCCCTGCGCTCATCTGATGTTTTTGTTTGTTTGGGGGCCTTCTTTTGACATGGTAGTCCTGCCTGCAAAGGTGAGTTTTGTGCTAAATGCGCAGCTCGAAAATACGCAGTGGGCGGAACCAAAAACGGCTCTTCTAACCACCACAACACCCAACTTTCCAGTTTGACTGTAAAACAGCAACGGAGTTTCAGTGAGCTTCTATACTGGGCATTTCCGGCGGGTTTTTTTCTGCTTTTTTTCACCACTGAATCACCTACTATCCGGGTACAAGAAGAATCGCGATTCGTCACGCTGACAGTCGCCGGCGTGCGATGTCGCGCCCGCAATGCGACAATGATTCCAGGTCGTAAATGGCGACAACAGGCAGCGTACGAACGAACAAGTCGTGAATTGCCTACAGATTTCGTAACCCACGTGAAATCCGATGTTTCTCCAATTCGACAGCTAAGCACAAGTCAAGAAAAATGCCGCGCCATCGCGCGGCGCGCGCAGAGCCGGCGAATCACAAGTTCTCTTGGCCCGGGGCTCACCGCTACTGCCGCTGCCATTAGTATTTGAGCCGCGGCAGCTCTCCATTTTGAGGAGCCAGGGCGTGCCTTTAATAATCATTTTCCAATGTTTTTCCATCCCGTTTCTTCAGGTTTCGGCGGCTATTCTTTCTGGTATACATGAAGACTACAATGTCAAATTCAATTCTTTGTCTGATGTGTTCAATTTTCTCACTAGGCGGAGTAATACTGAATTGGGAAAGATTGTATCACGCATGATAAAGGTATTATTCCCACATTCCTTCTAATTTTAGCTCCTCATGTTCAAGTGGCTGTGTCACTTTAGGACAGCCTTGACAGCAATCCCAAGGATGGGGTATTTGACAACTTGAATTTCGTATTTTTCTTCAAATTGGTTACTTGCTCCGTCGACACTCTTAGATTTCTAATCATACAAAACGCAGATGCAGGTCAGTCTTGGTGGGCAAGACAAATCGTAATTTGTCGTGTGGTGGCGCGCGCCTACCGTGCGGCTTACGAGCGGGCCAGGCATAGGGGTACCTATAATGTCAAATAGGAGCAGCGAAAATCTAATGAAAACATTGACGAGACTCCCTGCGGGGCGATATCGGAGTTTTCCGTCTTCTTAAGTCTGTTAAAACAGCTGGGCAGGAAAACTCGCCCGTTAGGTGGGCGTCGCTCGCCACGTTTACCAACGCGACATATTACGATTGTCTTGACACATGTAGAAAAGTGTGAAGGAAATAATACATTCCAGCTACGCCAGCGAACTTTTTCCGTGGGATTCGCCAACTGATGTCAGTTGACCATCGTCTGGTGTTGTCCAATATTCCGTACCTGGACTTTGCCAAGCAGATGATACGCGCTCTCGATGTGCATTCACTTGCCGTGGTTTTCGCTTGTGTTATGCAAATGGCTCTCGATCCTCTTTATTTTTCAGTCGCTACATGTTGCTTGTAAATGAAGAGTAAACGACCTACAGTGAAGCGAAGACGTTTAGAATTCCGAAGCCATGCACAGATCCTGGGTTTGTCGAGCTATCAGGGAAAAATAATAGTCGTGGCTTGTGGTGAGTCTGAAGCTGTCTTGCACGTTTTTACAACCTATAGATGTCTGTCCTTTTGAAATATTCCTTTCATTCTTTCGTTTGCATCACTAATCGCAGGAGTGGGCATTTACAACGCATTCAGTCGAGTTTCTCGATGAAATGAATGCGGGGAATCTCACATAGATCTTGACGTTTACTGAAGACTCACGGGTAAGACCTCAGGAAAGCACTAGCTGATCAAGAAGGACGATTCACAGAAGGAAAAGGGATTCCAGCTATCGTCTGTCCTCACCGCGTGTAAGACGTTACATCCGTGATGAAGCGTGCGAACAAAGTGGCACGGCATTTCCTATTTAGTTGAGTCGACGTACCAGCGGCACACTCACCTTAAATCAGTTACCGGTTTAGGTATACTCTAGTTCGCCGCGGACGGTTGGGCGTGTCTGGCAGTAGGGTGCCACGCCCGTCGAAGCCGTTCTCTGCCTTCTTGCTGAAGACAAAAAGTGATAGAAACCGAATTATGGTACAGTCTTAGAACCTGCTCGCTTTAGCAGCTGGTGACAGAACAGGTCTGGCACCGCGCCAAACTCATCGCGCCTGACACGCCCAACCGTCCGCAGCGAACAACACTATAAGAATTAGCCATGATTCACCACACACTCAGCACTCAGTCCGACCCGGTTTTTACTAGCTACGAAGTCTTTCTTCCACCTCATCTTTTTCCAACCCTTCCCCAATGTCCCCTAAGGATCCCTTTTTTGGATTCTCGCCTGATTTTCTAGATAGATTTGTCAGTGATACTAGTTCGACTTCTAAGCACGAATATCACGCTCGTTTGGCTCAAAACACTCCAAATTACGAAATTCGTTGAAAGCGTGCCCCTTAACGTCAGTTTGACTCCCTGAATACGGACATCACATCCGTACGTCAGAAAAGGCTCTTGCCCGTCTCGAGTCTGTAGCGCGAACGCTGTACGTTTTCTCCTCATCCACGTGATACTCCTGTTTGAGGGACGCGGCTGCCTACGGGACAAGTTTCTATCAAGATCTAGCTTATATTCCAAAAAAGGTCGTGAAGATTCTTAATTTTCCGAACATTCGCTTCCAGTCATTTAAGTTTTTTTTCCTTGTGAAACCAGTTGGCAAGACTGTCAGTTCTAATATTTCCAGATAACAGTCACTTTCAGGACGAAATAGTGAATCTGATAGTTCGAGCAGCTCATTCGAAGCCGAACCTGTCTGTAGTTGAATATCCACCGATCGCTGAGTTTGCCTCTGGGAAGAAACTGCATTTTGTCATAAATGCTGCCATTTCCAGTCCTCCTTGGTACGTAACACTCTAGCTGGCATATTGACTTCGCTATGTATTCCTTTTTTATTTAAGGGCTGGTCCCATTATCCGGTATCTCCATGCGGTTTCTATTGTGTACGGCGAGACGAAGGCCAGTGAGATTGCGTGCCGGTTTATCATTGAATGTTGCGAGGCAGATTCGGTATGAGTTCTCGGCGTCTCCTGCAAGACTTTTATCAGACTTATAGCTACAATATGATTCAGCTTTCTGCTCTTATCGCTTACCTCACCACTACAGTGCCATACTTCCCCAACGTAATGCGATCCGCTTACGAATCTCTCGCCAGTGTTATGCGCACCGCGGATGAGGAAAAGGATCCAGGTAAAGATTAGCGTTATAGGGTGTAATTGTAATTGAAAAGATACTGTAGTCGGTGTTTTAGATTGAGACATAGTAACTTTCGCCTCTCTCCAAACGCTTGCAGTAGCCTGTAAATTCGTGTTCGTATATTTTCGCCGAAGCAGTGTAGTTTGACCCTTTTGACTTTTCATACCGAAAATTTTGGTTTTGACGTCCACGCCTTTCCCGCTAAGGTGCTCAGCGAAGGTTTCTTTGGCTATACACGGGCTGATGACAGTAAATGAACTGAACAGAAGGCACCAGTAGGTAGGTGCAGTAGCCAGAGCGACTTTCGTCATGGTCCCCAAACGAAGAAGATTCTGCTTGCCATATGGTTAGAGTATGTACGGCAAGCATATAGAAGATCCTACTTATACGGCTTCGTCTGTCTGTGTGTCTGCGCGGAAATTCGGCATCGCCTGAAGAGAATCTCTTGAGGGGATGGATAGGGCATGGGCCAAGATATACGGAACACACGTGAACTTCACGCTGAGCCCCGCTCACTGTGGGTGGGTGTGTTCTTAGCTAATAACCAGTTCCGCGAGAAGCCCGGAGCACGGAAAAAGTGGAAGGACGGTAGTAAATGGGTAGGCCCTTGAAATGAGGGATACATTCCCCATAGTGAGAGGGGCGTTTTATATAAAACGGCTGCTCTCGAAACGAAAATTTGAGGAATTCGTGGTTCGGTTCCAACTCAGCTTGTAGAGCGGTAGAAGCGGGAAACGATGGATATGGGTGAGTGCGTGGATTGTGGGAGCGGCACCCACATCGGGAGAGCGTAAATGATGGCGTTCGCTAGAAAAATTCTAGAAATTCGCGGTTCACTTCCAGATAAGTCTGGAGAGTGGGAACAATAGGAAATGAGAGGAAATAAGTCGGCTGACGGGAGGCATACCTGCAGTGGGCGTTGCTAGAATCAAACTACTACTTCCTCTACTAACTGCTGAACTACTACTTCTTTTCCTTACATCCTAATCTGTTGTAATGATTTAAAAGGTTTAAGGTTTTGATTACCTACACTAAACAACTGGCACCAGCCAAACGCCGAGCGAATACAAGTCTACGGTTCCATCTCTTAAACACACCAAATCGTTCACAGCAATCTACAAGATAGCTGGTATAGAAAAATCCGTGAAATGCCGGAGGGGGGGGGATTGTTGGTGAGGACAGTTCGCAGCCGTACTGCTTCACGGGCATTCTTAATTAGATCTCGATGTGCCCCAAATACTCCACTTTTACTGTAAATTCAATTGTCATAGTGTTGTTATAGTACTGAAAAGAAGTTCGATCCTCCGTGTCCTCAACAACTTGCGTGTTCTTTTTGAATGGGAATCGACGACGGATGCATCGGTGCTGAATATAAAGCATTTTGGGTAGGTGGGACAGAGCGGCTGTCGTTTCCAGCTTTTCTTTCAAAGGCAGTGGGCACAATTTATGGGGTGGGCGATTGTCGGCAACGTCATTAGTGCAAGGGTCAAGTGGGGTGTGGCCAAACGCCCCCTCACAGCCTTGCCGCCAATGACGCTGTCAACGACTGCCCGCCTCTAGCTATCGTTCCCAATGCCTTGGAAATTCCTAATATTTGCGCAATTCGGCTTGGAGGGGCATTAAGCTGATCCCATCAAACTGCCGACACTTCCTGCGAAACGTGTAATTTCCTGCGAAGTTATACGATAGCATGGAGCTGCGTTGACACTTGACAAGGGTCTACAGGTCTCACCAGGGTAAGACGTGTAAGTTAATAGGAATAACAAAAGAAACTAGCGAAAATGCAAAATGCCCCTCCAAAGCGGAATAGCGCCTTTATGTGCTACACTGGATTCTTTCCCTACTTGCTCGATGCTTTGGCATTCCATAATTCCCATCGCTATAGATTGTATCCTGATGCTGCTATTGGTGTTCTCTTCACTAATCTCCTCTACGCTGTCTTAAATGCAGCGGAAGAAAGTGTTGAGGTAAAAATTTAGCTTTAATGTTCCATCCTTACCTTCCAATGTTGATCAACCTCTTTCAGATTGGTGAAGCTCAAGTAGCAATGGATTTGGTACTAGCTGTGGCTCGTCTGATTGAAGTGACGGCACCTCACTCAAATCAGAAGATTGAGGGCGCCGTGGTAAGAGAGTTGTTGTCTAATTCTCGTTCGTTGTTAGACCCTTCCGATACCGGCCTTCTCATTCTCTTCTTGGGTCTCGCCTGCTACGGCTTGTTTACTCCCCAGACACCAAAGAACCCCATCTTGTTTTAGATTTTGAATCAATTTTTTCTGCTGATGCTATAAATCCTCTCTACTAATAGTCTATTTGTTTTATAGCATCGTCTAGTGAAGATGCAAATTCGCTACGCTTACAAGTTGATGATCCAGCTTGCTTCTTTACAACGAATTGCTTCTGTCAATCGTTGGCCGTGGTAAGTATTTAATCGATCCTCCGGGGTATACTCAGGACTACCTCTATGATACAGAGCTAACTGAAAATAATAAACTTGATTCATTTTAGAGCACGATATGGCAATTTCTGTATTTGAAGAGTATCGCACGACCGTTTTTAATTTCATTTATCAGCAATTCAGTCCTCTTTTGCGAGGCTATGAGAAACTCTTCCTCGTATCGTTTCTCACATGCTGTATTCAGGTCAGCTTTTTATGACTTTCTGCTGGTGGATCCCATGAAGACAGCATAGGGAGAAGTAAAGTCATGATTCCTGCAAACGACGAGTGTGAAGGAGACTAAGTTGTGCAGATGCAGTCAGAGCAGCATTCCTTTCCCATTGTTGCGGACTCAGGATGACATCAGTGGAGGAGGCCGCCTTGGAAACGCTCCGATTCACGCCCTGTCGTTTGTGGAGATCATCACAATGTACTGTACAAATGTGCTTCCTTCCTTCGATCTGAGCTCATACTGCTTTCACAGCTACACCTTGCGCCATCAGGTAGAGCTGTATAAAAAAACGATAAAGTCTTCGCTGTTGATCAATCCCTTTGTGGGATGCTTCACGCATTCTGTCATACTTCCATTCTGGATCGTAGAGGCTTACTTAATGGCCCCTATACAACGAGTTGCGGCGGCCAGCCGATGAACGAGTCAGTGTTATTATCCTCCCGGCCGAATCTGGCCCAATTTACCGTCCCAGCAGAGTAGAAGGCTCGCATGGCCTGGTTGGGAGCCGATCCAGGATTAGATCCCAGGACCGTGCACGTGGTAAAAAAATCATAGATTTCAAAAAAGTGTCGGGGAGAACACTTTTGCATCCTCGACCTAGTTCCCCTCCCCTCCCCACCCCCCAAAAACATCCTAACTGTATATATCCCAGTTGTCTCGTCGAATCAGTGGTTCTTCTAGGATGCCAAGGCATTGTTCGGTGATTCTGATGACCTTGTAGCATGGAAGTACGAATCAACGGAGCGAGCCAGTAAACTTTTTGAAGTTGAAGAAGCTCAGGTTGGTAGCGGGCAGTGCCCCTTATTGCCTGCCTGTAGCTGGAATTGAAATTTTTGAACGTTAACTTGTTAAGAAAGAGTCCTTCCTGGATGCTATACAATCTATGCCTCTTGGAAAACGACCAAATCAGCTGGCTCACTCAGGAACAATTGGAAAAGGCGCTCGTCATCTACAGAAAGTCCCTCTCCCTAGCGTAAGTTTTGGTTTTGCTAGCTCTCTCTTTCTTTTTATTTTTCCTTATGGTTTTATCAGAGCCATAGCTCAGGCTTTACGCGTATTCCAATTTTTTTTCTTTGCTCTAGGAGGATGCTCTTCACCGTGCCCATGTTTTCTTAGATGCGATGAGGACCACATGTCTAGCTAATTCAAGGGAGTCTAACCTAGAAGTTTGTAAACTAGTGGTGAGTCCATCTAGATGGTTCTCTGTGAATGCTGGAAGTACGCCTTTGGAGTGTTCGTCCATTATTTTTGCCCTGTCTGATTTTGGAAGTATCCCTTGAAATGTGAGCTTTAGGCTGACGTTATGACTGAAGCCTTATGTCACGATGCTCTTGGAGGCGACTTCCTGTTCCAGGATTGGGATATTGAGAAGGACTTTGTCTCCAGGTCAGGTTTTTGTACTCAACAGATGACTCATTGATTTCATGTACATAGATACACTTTGACGCGCTGGTATTTCGGTGGCGCTCCAGTGCTATAGACGGGGACGCAGCCATAGACGGGTATCGACGGGGACGCAGCCATAGACGGGTATCGACCGGCGCCGGCTGCTGGTGTTTTGAGTAAGTGTGGAGAAATAGGATGGTCCCAGGCGGTATCGTTCGGTAACGCTGCTTTTTATTCGCCTATTCTTTCTGGAAACACCATCGTCTGTAGCGTTGGAGCGACTGCATTGGCAGCTGGTGCAGTGAGTCGGTGCGCGTCCTCGCGAAGTCTGCTTTACCTTCGCCGTTCCATTAGTTGTATGTTTAGTGTTGTAAACAACAGTTACCGTAATCTTTTAGGTACCTGGAAATATCGAAACGCCTTGATTCCAGTTGGATTAGTCAAGGCTTGATGGAAGTTGTAGCAGAAAATCCACCATGTCTATGGTTTATGCTTCCTGTAATTAAAGCTGAACTTGCTACCATAATGGTGAGGCATTTTTGGCGAGGATGGTCCCATATGGCTGCGTTTCATGATTTTTTTAAGTACTGTCGTGACTCCTGCACGACTTCTTCGCATCGGTCCGCCGTTACGTCCATTGCGCAGTACCGCACGCGCAACTGTCAACAACTGCCATGTTTAAAGGACCGTTTTCGCAGGCCGCACTGGGGTCTCGCCGCGCAGCTGTCTCTTCGCTGACCTATTCGACGCAACTCCCTATTTTTGGGCCCACGAGCAGTCTTTTGGGCTGGAGTCGTCGAGTGGAGTTCGCAGTCGTCCGTTTCTACGTCTCATTCGTCCGTCTGCTCATTATCGTCGTCTCTCCTCCCCCCTTTCCCCTCACCCACGAGCCTCGGGCTCGTCCTTGCCTGACTTGGCCCGTCCCACGATTGCGCAGTTGCCACCCTGGGGCAACTATGTCTAGCGCATCCCCCGCCGTCCTTCGTCTGAGGAATATCGCAAGTGGATTGGAGAAGATCAGGACCGCAGGTAGCTGGAGAGCCTCCATGGCCCAGTCTTAACGCAGGGAGCCGGCACGTAGGTCTTTTAGCCTTGTTAGGTGTTTCTTGATGTTTTTGATGTTTGATTAATGATAAATAACCTTCCGCATTTTCTTTTCCCTTTTTCTTCACGTGTTTAAACACGTTTTTTATTTACGATTGATGCATTGCTCATTCATTGGTATTCGATGTGTAGTTTCTCGCATATGGCTGATAGCCCTTTACCAACTAATCGATTGCCCCGTTAGGATGTCCGTAATTGATTCATATGAGAGTAGACGTGTTATCATGCTTCAAAATATGGGACTAGCGGGACCGCAGAAGCCCAAATCTTCGGGGAACCACAAACGGGCGCAAAAGGCATTCAGGTTAAGGGGATGAGGACCGCACGCGTTGCCGCGTGGCATGGATCAATACTAGGCGAGACCCCCCTTGGACGCCATGGGACCCAACACGGCGCGCACCTCCCCATAAGGAACCACCGCAGGCGGGGAGCCGCGTCGCGACAAGTACCGGCCGCTTAGTTGATGCATTTTCAACTGCGCTTATAAAACAGCTTGTTATTTCTGTTCACGGATATTTCGCTGATGTACAGTACCTAGCGAAATGTAGTATAATCCAGCTACTACCGTTTTCGATTGGTAGTTCTTTTCATGCCGCACTGTGTTTTTGTATAGTCCATTTTCAGGCTAAATTCGAAAATGTTGTGGATAAGTCACGGCCTCCAACTGAAGAGATGCTAGATCGCTTTGATAAGTGGTTGTATATAGTGAGGAAAGGAGACATTCTCTCAGAACGGTATTTCACCTTACGAGCCCCTTTGAATCTTTCGGAGCCAGAAAAATATTTTTGTAGGTTTGAGTTGACAATGGAGATGATTTCTTATGTTTCATGCTATGAAGGATTCTTACTTCTCATCGAAATTTGGAGACATTTCCAAGTAAGGTGGATCAGTGACAATATTACTTCTAGTCTTGTAACTGAATACTACATAGTGTACCCCTTAAACTAAACTAAACTTTGATCTTAGCCAAAAGGCCGAGAAGCACCTTCGCTTTAGCTTTAGCACTTCTTTCACTTTAGCGAGAGATTGTACCATACGGTTGGATCCTCTACTAGGTGTTCCCTCATACGAAGTGCCGGCACTTGGCCCGAAAAGCTCCTGATGGCTTGATCTCTCTTATGATTTCTCTCCGCCTCAGGGAATGCTATGTGCATGCAAAAGCCAGCCGGCTGGGCGTGGCTGGTCGTACCTATGGCGTAGCTGTTGCGTGCGTATCGCGCGTCAAGTGGCGACATGGGTATAAGGCAAGAAAATCGTAATTCGCCGCGCCAGTAAGCGTTGCGTGTGACGCCGCACCTCACGACGATTTTAGGTGGCGTTGGTTAGACAGACAAGTGTCTACCATGTCCTTGACTCCATGAAATCCGATGCTCAGATCGAAAGAGCAAAGCAAAGTAAGGGAACGTCGCCATTGCCACGCGCGACGAAGTGTGATTTACGATTCTTTTGCCCGTCTTCCGGCGGACATGGAAATAAGAGCAAACACAAGCCTCCAGGATCAGTGCAGTGTACCTCTGAAGGGCGGAAGTACTGCAACACCGATGGTGCGTACCTGCTCAGCTCCCATAGAAAAAGATCCATCTGTCATGTTAATTGATTCTCAGTTCTAATTGTGGAAATTTGCACTTCATATCTCCTTTGAAATTAAACTGTCAATGAGACAGCTCACTTTTCTCATCGACATCTCTTCCTCGCATACTTTTTCTCGCTTTTTAGGCCGTTGCGTGCTTCATACAGCAGCATTCAAGCTGGTTCACAACGCTATTCTCAAGGGAGAAGACGCCAGATTACATGTGAGGATGAACAACTTTCTTTTGACAATGTGAAATCATCATTTTGCTTTGTTTAGATCACTATGGATGGAAACACGGAGATATACCGGTTAATTCTGCAAAAGAACATAGGAGATTTGGGTCATTTATTCCCGTTTGTTATGTGTTTC